GTGGTTGACTCAAATATTGTTTTGTGGATTTGTAGGAAATTAAAGATTGTGTTTAGATTTTTCTGTGACTGAGTCAAACTCATAGCAAATCATTTTCTGAGCCTAAATTGTACAAACTGATGTAAGCATCTATATTCTAGCTTGACGTTTAGAATTTCTCTCTTTAGAATTTGTTATCAAAACCAAATGAGACAATCTTTTGAAGCCAAAAGTTTGAAAGTTGAATAGAATCTAACATATAGAAATCTAAGATTAGTGGTGATGATATTTTTGTTCTTTTTTGTTTCTTTATGTGTGGCTTGGTTAATATTGTACTGTACTTGCAATCTTTAATTAAATGAAATGTCAGTGTATATATCTAAATATTTTTAAAAGCGAAACCAAGAATCAAAAAGTAAGTATATTTAGAGGTACGATCATAATCTAGAGATTGAATTTTATTTGATTAAAATAAGAGAAATTTATAAGTTGTTATGTGATCAATAATATGAGAAAACAATGATTTGTGGTTGAGTCAAAATATTTTTTTGTGAATTAGGAAATTGAAGATTGTGTATTGATTTCTCTGTGAAATTTATAGCAAATCAATTTTCAGAGCCAATATTGTAAACATTTATCATCTAAATCTATAAAAAAAAAAAAAAAAAAAAATCTATAAATTTCTCTTTTGAGAAGTAATTATGAAGACCAAATGGGAAGACAACTTTTTGAACTAAGTACTATGAAAGTTGAAGTGGTATGTACCTGAGTTAATAGAAGATTGTAATATTTAGAACTTTCAGATTGGTAGTGATGATATATCTAAACTATGGGTTTGTTAGTAAACTATTAGTTAAGACATACTATTGTACAACCAGATGATATTTGTGCAATCATGAGTAAAGTCATATGATGTTTGACTTTTAACTAGTGAAGTCAAGGCCTCGGGTTTGTGGATTATAAGTTTGTACAGGTTAACTGAGATGGTATGTCACATAGGTACCACTTAGGGTATATTATAAAGAACATTTTTTTCTAGTAAGAATTTTTGATAATATTTTATATGTAAATATAATTCATTACTTTTTTATAACCAAATTATTTGTAAAAGTACTCACAATAATACTATTACAAGAAATATATATTTTGTTTACAACGTAATAATTTTTAAATAGTAACTATAAATATTAAAATTTTAACTTTCAAGTTAAAATAGCTTGATAATCAAAAATTTCACACTGATCTTAAATCCTATGTCGCACTTATATGAGTTGAGTACTAGAGCAGTAACCGATATATTGATTTCCCTCTTTAGTAATGAGTTTACATATATGTGACATGATGACTGCCTGCGGATTCATGTGTTTGTACTTGATGAAGTGCCAGGATTTTAATTTCATTGCTTCTTCCACCGATGATGAATCTGTTGCAGAGTGTGTAGCAAACCACTTCAATAATGTTGTCATATTTGTGTGAGTGAGCTTCTTCAATATCTGCTTTCCCAAACAAACTTACCACAAATATTGGCTTAAACTTGCTCTCATATATAAAATGCGCCAATTCCAAAGGTTCAAATCCTTTGTTTGACTGAGAACTGATCAACCTTTTTCTGAAATTGTTAGCAATTCTCCTTCCCTAAGCTTATGTCCCCATTTCATCACTGAAAATCTCTCGTTGATCCTGATTTTTGTTGTTCCTACTTCCTTGTCTCGGTTTGAACATTTCACCTCCACATACACTCTACATCCAGCCAACTCAAAAAAAAAAAATTGTCAATCATAGTGAGCTCATCGACACAACTTCAAATATGAATAGACATTGACTCATGCTTTTTTTTTTGTCATCTATGGTTTGCATTTAAAGAAAGTTAAAAGTACAATTGTTACAAACCATACTAGCAAGACAACCATACCGATAAAACAACAACATCACAGAGAAGGACTACAACTAAAGATAGGAAAAAGTAAAGCACAACCTTCAACCAAAAGACTTCTAAGCTCCACGCAAACGACAATCAAGCGATGGTTTCAAGAGAAACCGAAACGAGCACAGATTAAGAACCATAAGAACCAAACAAGGACTTGAGGAAACCACAATCCCACATTGACTCATGCTTTATATGATCTTTTTGTGTGACGATCGAAAAATATTTCATTTTAAGCTTCTTTTGACCTTAAAGAAACGGCAATAACTTTGTAAAGGCGTCTTGAGAGGGGTTGAAAGATCTTATTGGGGCCAATGGAATATTAAATTTGTGGCCACTAGCCAACTTGCTTCACCTCTCAATCTCTGTGGCCCAAGCTTTGACCAACTATCTGGGCTAAATATCCAACGCAGTTTGAATTGAAATACACAACTATAATTGGCTAAATTTTGAATTTTGTATCGGTATTACTATTTCCTTTTGTTTCTTGAATCTTGTTCCTTTTTTCATATGGTCGGTCCAACCCGCAGGCATTAAATGCTCCGTTGCTTTACATGTTCTTGCAACTTGCAAGTGGTTCTGACTATGTGCATCTCTATGTTTTGTTTTATTGCATATTCTTTGGGATTCGGCAAGTTCTACTTGTAATATTTGTAAATGTGTTATGGACTCTAGTCAAGAATAATACTACTACTAAAGCACTGAACTAAAATTTAGATCAAAATGGCCATTAAAACCCTGGGTTTCTAGACTATTGTATTAACCATATGGACGGACCACAATACAAAATAGAAAAAGCCAGTTAACAAAAAGACAACACAATATTTTTTTCCTTCAAAATTGATATATACCAAACTCCCCTTGTCTAGTTCTTCACGTAGGCTTCGACCAAGTTTTGATAGAATGCAAATAATGCAATCTAATACGAGTACTGTATGTACTATTTAAAAGAACATGAAGCACAAGTACTTTGGTAATCTTTTATGGTGAATTTTTAGAATGTGGACGCATTTGGTAGGCCTAATATGGGATTCAATGGTATACTTCTTCACATGAATGGGCTTTAATACATAAGTGGAAAACAACAGCAGACAAGAGAACATGTCTCTCGGCTATACCTTGAATCCTCTGCTCACTTCACACGACAAAGTACACACACTCAATCTCCACTAGGATGTAGATCGTATGACATCTGGTAAAATTTTGGCCATATATGTATATAACTTTAATCGGTTCAAATAAGCTGTTGATATTAATAGATTTTGAAAAATCTTTTAAGTGATTCATATAATTTATTTTAATCGATTACTCCATATTGAAAATGGAGAATTGGCTTGAGATCTAAAAAAAAAAGATTTTAGTCTATCATAAGACTTTTCATTTGTCACATATCTATTACAAATGCGTAGTGTGAAGTGAGCAGGGATTTGCAGTTAATTAACACTAGCTTTTTTGCCCGCATTTGCGGGTCTAAACATTTTATAATTATTTTATTAATACATCTTTTACTAATTGAAAGATTATAATGATAAAATATTAATTGTGTTTTATTTTTGAAACCAATAATATTTATACTTTCATTTAACAATTCTTACATATATTTCTTTGCAATTTATGTTCATTCTTAAAAATAATTTTAAAATCAAATAATATTTTTCAGTTATATAAAATTAAGAAGTTGACTTGATTTATATTTAGTCATGTATTTTCTATTGTTTTAAAATATATATTTTCAGATAACATCACAATATATATCGGAATTATCTTATTTAAAAAGATATTATTTAGATTTTGGATAATTCTTATGATTATTATTAATATAGTTACTTATCTAACTAAAATAATTTAAAGTAATTTTTATTTTGTATGTAATTTATATATTATTTTCATTAAGGGTATAAACGATATTAACTAGTCTAACTTTTAACGTGAGAGCTCCGTTGCGAAAAATCACTTCGCAAATAATAGTATAGATAGATAGATATTAGGGAAAATTGACAAAATAACCCTCAACTTTCGAAAATAAGCCAAAAAACTCTCCAACTCACAAACAAGCCATTTTAATCTTCAACTTCTAGTCAAACACGAAAAAATCTCATACTTTCGTTGACCAAGCCATTTTAATCTCGTCAAAATTCAACCGTTTAGTTCTATTAGTTATATTTAACGGTTGACTTTTAATGAGCCTAAAATGGTTTGGGCAACGAAAATATGAGATTTTTTTTTTATTTTAATTTAAAAGTTGAAGATTAAAATTGTACACTTATCTTAACTTAAAAATTTCTATTTTTTTATTTTTTTCAACAAAAATTTTAATTTATCATATCAATTAGAATAACAAACTTAATAAAATATGTTCATATAAGCTTAGTTATAATATTTTTAAATGAATTAAAAATAAAAAAATTGTTTAGTAAAAAAATTTGATTAAAAATATAATTATACTGTAAATCCAGATATAAAATAAAATAATTAAGTGTTTATGTTCAAAAAAAATTAAGAATAAAAATATAAAAGTGAAAGGTAAGACCCTAAACACATTATTGTTAAAAGTATAATCGCATATACTCAATAGAGGATGAAACAAGTGAAAATGAGGAACTCAAGTGCGTGAAAGAGATTTCCAGCAGCTGATGTATATAATTTTTTTAATTCATTTTTAAATATTATATCTAAACTTATTTGAACATATATTATTAAGTTAGTGATTACAATTGATATGAAAATTATATTTTTTCTCTTAGTTAAAATTTTAAATTTTAGTTAAGATATTTTTTTAAATAATAAATTTTAATCTTCAATTTTAAATTAAGTTAAAAAAAATCTCATACTTTCGTTGACCAAGCCATTTTAGGCTCACTAAAAGTCAACTGTTAAATATAACTAACGGAACTAAACGGTTGAATTTTGACGAGATTAAAATGGCTTGGTCAACGAAAGTAGAAGATTTATTCGTGTTTGACTAGAAGTTGGAGATTAAAATGGCTTGTTTGTAAGTTGGAGATTTTTTTGGCTTATTTTCAAAAATTGAGGGTTATTTTGTCAATTTTTTCCATAGATATTATTAATATAATTATATAAACATTATAAACACTTCGTATGTTCTGCTTCCTCACGTTGAGACAAGCAAATAACGAAAATGTTGGGCCAAAAACCTTAATACACTGACATTTTTTTTATCTTAACTAAATTACCAGCCACAATTAACAGAGCAATTCTCGCGCTCCATCATCCAACCTATCAGAACCGTCCACGTCAATGCACGAAAAAGGCAAGCATACGCGGCCAAGATGCAGCCACGTCATCATCATCATCACAAAATTCTCAGAGCCAGTAAAAACAAAAAATCAAATTTTCATTAATCAGGCTCGAAGAAATCGTCGACTTCCCACGGAGATGAATCGAAATCTTCATTCAAATGAAACGAGAAATCTTCCGGTCCGTTCTCCTCCTTCCGGTTTATTACCGGTTTAGGGATTTCAATTTCATCCAGAAACAAAGGCTCAGGAGGAGTTTCGGAGTCCCAAAAGTACTCGCCGGCGAGAGAAAACTCCGGCAAGGTATACGGATCCGGGAACAAACCTGATACCTCCGCCGCCGAAAGATCGATTGGTTCCGTCTCCAGCTCCGTTTCCTCTTTGACGTTGAACCGAAGAACAGACGTCGGAGAACAGAGGCTCTGGCTCCCGGAATTAGATCCGGAGACCGTTTTCAGATCGATAACCGGCGATTTTCCCGGCGAAGCCGGCGGAGTGAGAAAATTAGTCAGAGCGTTATGACCTCTGAGACGAATCGCGGCTCGATCGTAAGCCAAAGCAGCTTCCTCCGCCGTAGAGAAAGTCCCTAACCAAATCCGAGTACGCGTCGACGAGTCTCTAATCTCCGCCGCGAAGGTTCCCCACACTCTCTTCCTCACGCCTCTGTACTTTCTAGGAGGATTCGCTGCCACGTCATACTTTATTTCGTCGCTGCGTTTCTCTGCCTTGCATCTAGTTTTTCTCGGTGCTTTGGAGGAAGAGGAGGGTTTGGTTTCACCGAATCTAATCTCCTCTACGTACCGTTTCACTCTTGGAGTTGGAGAAAGCTTGTCGTCTTCGTCGCTGGATGAGTCAGTGGCGAAAGGGTCAGTGAAAGCGATTCGGACAACTCTTGGAGAGCCGTTAGATGGCTTAGCTGGCACGGGTTTGACCGTGCAATGCTCTGTGAACTTTACTCTTCTTGTTCCTCCTCTCTCCATCTCTCTTGCTCTGTAATAATTATCTAAAGAGAGAGAAACTAGAGATGATTTTTTTTTTTTAACTGTGATGATGAATCGTGGAGAGAAAGAGATGAGTCAAAATGTTAAAGAAGGGAAGAATCGCCGTTTCTTTGGAAAAATCGTTCCTTATATATAAAGTCATGAGTCATCACATTAATTATTTCCATATTCTCTTTTTACTTTTATGGACGACATTTTATTTGAATCATTTTTTGGAATACTTGCTGTTTTTTTTTTTAAATTGTGTCTTTTTGTTTAACTGTAGAGAGATATTAATGCGATATTCAAACCGGTTTAGCTGTATTCATAATATGGAATGACCTAATCAACAGAAAAATTAGGACTAGTTCAGAGGAAGTTACTCTGTTTCTCATGAAACTAAATCTAAACACCCTGATAATTCCTTAAATTAATACTAATTTATAATATGTTCTTATTGTAATCTATAAACCGAAAGAGATGTTAAACCGGGATTTGTATTAGTAAGATAAACGCGGTTCGTGGCGGCCATTGGGGTCTCCAAAACGGCTTTCCGCATCTCAGATTGAGACGTTATATCTATGACACGTGTTAGTTACCGTATCGAGGGTGGAGCTTTTGTCCTACCTTAATAGCTTGGTCTCCAAGCCATTTTTAAGTCTTCCACGCCAATGCATCATGCGCCAGTGTGTGGGACCTTCTCGTGTGAGATTGGTCACGAGGATGTCACTCACAAAGTCACAATGAATTTCTTAATGGTAACGACTATAACGAGTCTACTGATGTGTTTTAAAAAAGAGTAACAGTATAGTCTCGTGTCAATTTGAAAAGTATTTTTTAAAAAAAAATTTGAAACCAATGATCTTTCGCTTGGAGGCCAAGTCATTTCCACCCTCTAATATTTAATGTCGCTTGTCGGAAACAAGAAAAAGAGTTAAACTACATTAGATTTCCATCAGTTTCGATTGAGCTTTGACTAGAATTAGTCAGGATATCAAATCTTTTGAAGAAAGAAAATCAAATTCTATTATTTACTAAAACCATATTCTACTTACGATATTTAACGTCTCTTATCGCTTTGAATGTTTTTACTACATATACAGAGAAGAAAAAAACTTAATTATTCCATTCATCATCCGTCACGAGCCCGTCATTTTCATATACGTTACCACTCTCATCTCAATATACGCAGCAGCACACACATATGTCCTGACACGTCGATATCAATATCATACTATTAGTAAGTAAGGAATCTATAAATGATATAATATATCAAAGCATAGACCTTATGTTAAGTAAAATGTAAGTCGATATTCAAACAGGGTCTTGACAAATTCAATCTAACACCATAGTGAAGTAGCCATACGTTTTACCAGTTCACAATCTTTGTTCTACTTCTTTATCTTCATTAACAATTTCTTACAAAATAGATTAAAGCCCAGGCAAGTATGTAGTTACAACTACAACCAAACGGTCTTTAATTAGCTCCCAAACACTCTATTCAACCCTTTTTTTTTTGGGGTCAACTGCTGAGATTGATAAATAGAGATAATACAAAGGAGGGCTTACGGTAGGGCCAAAAACGGGCCGCATGAGGCCCAAGACCATATGTAGCTTTATTTTACACATATACCCTTAAAATCTTAATTAATTCACAAACGAAACACAAAAGCCTCTTACTCTTAGGTTTCACTCATTCAGAGTTCAATCCTCCTCTCGTCGACGCCGTCCACAAACTTCCGACGTATCATCGCCGCAAATCTCAGCTAAGGTATAATTCGTTTCCTTATCACTCTGCTTCTTTCTAATATTTTTTTTTCTCTGTTTCTAGAGAACATAAAGTTTCGAACTTTGTTCTGTCTTTTAGTGATATTAACAAAAAGTTTCGAACTTTGTTCTGTCTTTTAGTGATTTAGAGTTGACAAGAATGGAATACGTAAACCCTGAAGGTCTTCGATTAGATGGTCGCCGATTCAATGAGGTATCTTTCCATCTCTCTGTTCTTGTCTTTGTTAGCAGCCTCTCTTATGCTTTGATGATTTTGTAATAGATGAGGCAAATCGTAGCTGAAGTTGGAGTGGTGTCCAAGGCTGATGGGTAAACACAGATCTTGCTCATATCTTCATCTCTGTTCTAACTTAGCACTTACATGAATATTAAAAACTCAAACTTTGGTGTTTTCTTGTTCTTGTCTAGTTCTGCTGTTTTCGAGATGGGTAATACGAAAGTAATTGCAGCTGTTTATGGCCCTAGAGAGGTACTCACATTACTCATTCTCTAAGATTGATTATTCCCTTTTATTGTATGAGTCAGTGAATTAAGCTTGTATGTCTTTTTGCTCACCATAGATTCAAAACAAGAGCCAGCAAAAGAATGGTCATGCATTGGTATGTATATGTTTTGACCTTATTGTGTATATTCTTATTGCCGTAGAGCTTTTGTGAATTTGAAATGCTTGTGGCTTCTTCTCTCTAATTTTGGTAGGTGCTTTGTGAGTATAGTATGGCTCATTTTAGTACTGGTGATCGTAGACGTCAGAAAAACGACAGGTTACACTTACTACATATCTATAAGACTTCAACTTCTATTTTTGCAAATAGTCATAAAAAATTTGGAATTGTTGTGTATTACGGTATGGTCAGGCGATCAACAGAGTTATCTCTTGTCATCCGTCAGACAATGGAAGCTTGCATAGCAACCGAACTCTTGCCTCATTCTCAGGTCTAGCTTTAATATTCATGGCAAGAATCTGTAGTAGGTCAAATCCTATATTGAGTCTTGATGGATTGTTTCTTTTATGCAGATTGACATTTTCCTTCAGGTTCTACAAGCTGATGGAGGTAACTGTTCTGCAAACTAGATCTCAAGTTGTAGAACCTCATCTATGGATCTGTGACTAATGTTGTGTTGTGTTGTGTTGTGTTGTGGTAATCAGGAACAAGATCAGCTTGTATCAATGCTGCGACTCTAGCTCTTGCAGACGCTGGGATTCCCATGCGTGATCTTGCTGTTTCCTGCAGTGCTGGATACTTGAACAGTACTCCACTTCTTGATCTTAACTATGTCGAAGATAGCGCTGGTGGAGCTGATGTAACCGTTGGCATTCTACCTAAACTAGACAAAGTGACACTTCTTCAGGTTCGGCCTATTCTCTTTCATATCATCACACTTCTCTTACATCCACTATCAGATTGGTTTGCTTACGGTTTATATATTGGTTCAAATTGTGTAGATGGATGCAAAGTTACCTATGGAAACATTTGAAACGGTGTTTGCCTTGGCTTCTGAAGGTTGCAAGGCGATTGCAGAGAGAGTACGCGAGGTAAACAACGGAGTTCTCAATCTTTTTTGCACCGTTTTAGAGCATTATTTGTTTTCTAAATCTTTGGTTCTGCTTTTTGATTTTGAAGGTACTTCAAGAAAACACTAAACAGCTCGAGTATCGTCGTGCTGCATAAACTTCAGAGCTAGCTAGAGAAAAACAATATTGTACCAAAAGATTTTTGTCAGTGACTTTTAAATGAGTTAGTAATGCAAAGACATACTATTTTTGGTTAATATGCGAATCTGAAAGCTAAAGATTGAACATCTAATGTTTCATATATATTCATAAACTAGCCATTGCGAAGAGTAAAAGCATAGGCTTTTTGGTCACTACAACACCAAAACCGGTCTAAGAAATCACCGGTTTATAAACTTCTAAACTGAGAAAAAAAGATCAAACATGCAAACGATGATTCTGCTTTTCCAATGATGCAGTACAAAAAAACTGCAGAGACATTGCAATGGAATAAGCATAATATTCTTCAAGGAAGGGATTCTAAAAGAGACAAAGAATCAGAATCCTTTGCTCTGTAGTTCAAGTTGATCAAAGCAGAAGCTGGACTTAACAGCAGTTAACATAAGCTTGCCGGTCCATTCCTCTCCTGGCTTCAAAGTGATTGGTCTCTCAACTGCTGCTCCATCCACACAAAGCATGCTCTTGTACTCATCGTCCCCAAAATCCGCCATGGTTTTTGATTTCTTCTCCCATGGATTCCATACCACTGCATCATCACAATCACAATTCATGAAACCCAATCATGTAAAACATGCTAGTAATGAAAAACAAGATGCTGTCTGATTCTTTACCTGTATCTGGAAGTCCTTCCTTTCCAATAACATATGTTCTTTTCCGCTCGTGGTCAAGAACTGCTACCACTTTGGGAGATCTAAGGTAAGTCCTGTCTATCTGAAACCAAAAGAAACATTTTGATATGAGTTAACCGAAGGATCACTATATTCTTTGCTTTAAATGTTTGCATGATCTTTTAGTCTTTACCTCAGATTCAAAGGTTATAGCGTCTCCTTGTTCTGTCAAAAGCTCCCTTTTGCTGAGGTTGTCCAAGTAATCCAATGTCTCTAACCCTTCCACCCTCACTTCACTGTTAACCCAAAAAAAGAATGCTGAATGAATGATTCACAAAACACACAGAATCATTTCCTGTCTTTTGTAACAAGTAGAAGTACCTTATGTCTGAGACAGAGAGGTAAGTATGATATGCGAATGAGAAGCTAAAGGGCTTGCCATTGATGTTTCTAACACGAGAAATCAATGTCAAGTCGCCATCTATGGCAAGTGAAACCCTAAGACGGAACTCAAAACTGCAAAAGGAAACACACACACACACACACACATACATTAGTATCTGTAAGAGAAAGAACATAAAAGGTAAATGGTGATGCTTTTTACCTGTGAGGCCATTGCTTTAAGTCCTCTTCTGATGGTTTAAGAAGAAGATCAACATATGATTTTCCTGAGGATTCGTATGAGGTAAGAGGAGGTGGATTCTCATCAATAACCCAGATTTTGTTCCTTGCAAAGCCATGTTGATCCAGTAATCCACAATCTCCAAACTTCAATCACACACACACACACACAAACGACTCAATTACAATGTTCAAAACAAAAAAGATCCCAACAATGAGAGCACTAAAGTTACCTGAGGATAACAAATCTGGATCCCTCCACGCATAGATTTTGGGTGTTTGAAGATAGCCTACACAGTTTACTTAAAAATCAAATCTTTATGCTTTTTCTTCTTTGATGGGGTTTTGGTCTACAAGTACATACCTTGTTGCTAGTGAAAAGAAGCTCTTCGCCTTGGCCATTCCTCCATGAAATCACTTGTCCTCCATGTAAACTAATCTACAAAATCAAACCCACACAACACATTAATCTTAAAGAACTCGACTTTGAGAGAGAGAGAGAGAGAGAATGAGAAGAAAAAAAGTTGAAACCTTTGCTGAAGCGCCATGTGTGTTTCGGAGAAGGACTTGGTCAATGCCATTCCAATCTTTGGTAATCTCAGTAGCTGCTTTATCATCCCACACTGCTGCGTAATGACCCATTCTTCTTCTTCTTCTTCTTCTCTCTCTCAGAAAGTTTCAACCTTTACTTGTTCTAAATTTGAGAATCTCAAGGATTTTCGACAACAAGTTGTGTCTAAATTCAAAGTCCAAAGAAAGGAGCAAAAGACGACAAAAGAGCTTTTACTTTCTTTCTCTCACAAAAAACTTATGACCACGACTGTGATTAGATCTGGAAATCTTAACACTCCTTTGCTCATTAAGTACTCTCCACTCTAAGAAATTAAATAAAAAGGATTTGAGAGAAGAGAAGGGAACAACACCTGTCAATAGAATGAGCAAAACACCTATCTTAGATTCTTATTATTTACTTGATTAATTATCACCACCACTCATAAATTTTTATATTATAAAATATGGGATAATGTAAATAATTATATGGTAAAAAAGAATAAGAAGTCTGAGGATAGTGATCAAAAGAAAAAAAGAACAGATTATGGAAAGAGTTTGATGAACTTTAGACTCTATTAATGAAAAGAAGAGAGAGCAAGATCTATGATGAAGGTTTATAGGAGTTTTCAGGAGGAGGAGGCTACATGCATTGCTTCAGATAGACATGGCGGAAACAGAACTGAACTTTCCTCATTGCATAGTTGAAAGTCTTTATATTAATATACGATATTATTCATATCGTATTAAACACCATTTATGTGTGTTAAATGTTAATGTCCAGCCTGTCTTTTAATTAAATAGTACGAAGATGCAAACAGACATATAATTTTGAGGGTTAGAGGAGACGAATGATACCATAATTAGCGGACCAGATTCTTTGGTTCACGCACGAGGATAGTCAGAGAGCAAGACACCAACATAAAACTATTGCACTCTTTCTCTAGAAACAGTTGATGCTACCGTACCACGTGTACGGTAAGTAATCACCGGTCAGTTCTTCTGTTTTGTAATTATTTGAGTTTTGATTTTAAGAGAATTTTTTAAGAAGTCCAAAACACGAACAAAACGCACGGCTCAAATGGAGAGTGAGGTCTATTTCAATCCCAAGTAGATATAGTAAAATTTCTATTATCCAAAGTGATATGACCTACTTCGTAATATATGTTTCTGTTTTGTTTCAAAACGAGTCTATGCATTATTCATTTTTATATAGAAAACAAAATGTTGTCATTGGCACATTTCCAAAACTAAAAGTAGTAATATTTTTCATGGACTTGAATGTTGAAAATTTGAATCATGTAAATGGCCGTATAATTTGCTTTAGGCGACCAACTTTACTATTTTATATTGTACATTATTTTTGCTCTTTCACAACTTGGTTCACATAATACAAATCAAACCCCTAACAATCTCATAGATAAGTCATTTACTAAAACGATGCCAAGAGTAAGCGTCAAGGCATGTACATCCCTTCTTAAACGTCCCTCGTTCTATAAGTGTTTTTAGAACCTTAAGACTCTTTATAAGCTCTCTAGTCTTCGTCAAGCCTTACATAAGAAAAAGCAAGTTTGTTAGAGAGAAAAAGACAACACGTAGCAAGACAAGAAAAAGGGTCACTGAGGAGGATCTGTAAACCTTTTGATGGTAAGCTCAGCTCTGAGATGGAGTATGCCATTGATGAAGTAAAGACTATCCTCTGCAATAAAAGACGTCCATGGAATCCCAAACAAGTTCCTGTACCCAACTGCTTTCCCTCCTGTGAATGTGTAGTTCCCTTTGTACTTGCTTATGAACTCCTCCGTTGGCTTTGACCTTGCCGAGAACTCATAGTCCACTCCGAAACTCACCGACCCTTTCTCCTGCATCCCTAAAAACAGCCCAAAACAGTGGAACGAGCTCTGTTGGTCCATGTTGCAATGCGCTGAGAGGAAAAAGCCTTGACCACCTAAGTGAAAGGCCTGTGAATAGACTCTCCCCGAGGGGAACAATCCTGCACATTCTTCTCTTTTCAGGTCTAGATAGACCACGCACTGCGGCCTAGGAAGCTCAAACTCCACGACTTTAACCGGTCTGTATTTGTAAGCTCTCTCTATGAGCCGTCGGTTCACGGAGGCTGATTCTTCCGCAGCTAGGCTACGTTGCCTGTGTGGTGCTTCTGCCTTGAAGAAAAGAGCTTCTAAAACGAGCTTTGATGCTATCTCGTGGTCAAAGTCGCTGCAAGTGAGTACCTTCTTTAGCTTTCTGCATGTCATGAATGGGAAGCGGATAGCTAGTGCAAGGCGTGACCCGAGAACCTCTCTTCGCTCCTCCAAAGAAGGGTACTGCGCCCTTGCCCATTTCAAGATAAAATCATAAACTGCATCCTCTGATGCAATCTGGAGATCGTCGCTTGATAAAATTGCCTCGATTCCTGCCAATGGTAGAGACATAACCTCCTCCTGAAACCTGCAAAAGAAGAGTAACCATGGCCTCTAAGAATCAACACACCAAACATCACCATCTCGTGCATATCGTTTTGGGGTTCTTACTTGGTAATATCCTTGTAACGGGCGGCAAGGAACTGTTTTGCAGCATCGGTTAAAGGCTGAACAGCTTTAGCCATTAGAACACTAGAGGGTAGCTCGAGATAGAGCAGCGCAGATTCAGGAGTCATAGGCATATTGCGAAGAAGTCTGCTGCAGTACCTCATGCAAGAGGCAACCTCAAATTTATCAGCAGCCATCAGCACATCTAACAAAGCGGGTGCTGTGGCGACAGATACCACATTGCTATACATGAAGTTTAAAAGCTCCATCAAAGCAGCTTCCTCTGCCATACACACAACGCAATGTAAATCAAAGACATCTATTAAGAGGAAATAACACACAACAAACGAAACCTATTTTTGTCTAGTCTAGTCCTGTTGAAGATATAAAGTTAAGGACAAACTAAAATCACATTCAGATATTTTTTACATGAATGAAAAGGCATACCTGATGCATTAATTCGAAGAGTGACGTGTCTTTGCTCAGATTCCCTCATTCCATTAGAGAACAACTATTAACATTTTCAGAAGAAACAAAAATGAGACACAAACAAACATAAGGACAAGACACTACTACCATAAAAAAGGACCATTACTATCGAATTACCTTGTAAAAGAAAGGGCTTTTAGCAGCTAAGATAGGTGAACTAATATGAAGTTCTATAACCCTAACAACTTTAGAACAATCCATTCCCCAGCTAGGCTCACTAGTTGTATCCTCTTCATCACCTAAAAAAAAAAAAACCAAAAACCCATAAGCTCTACTTCTTCTCCTAACAACACTCTCAAAAGGATGTTACTTTAAATACTACCTGATAAAGCTTCCTCAACCATTGCCTCACCTTCATCATCAAGATTATCACCACCAGGACACCCATCCATATCAGGCTGCTCATCCGTCAAAATCTGCTCCTCAGGACACGCCACAATGTCCGAAATCGTAACTGCAAAAAATGAATCAAAACACACACAACACATAAGAATTGATAAGGGCAAAAGGAATCAAATTTTAACCCCAACACACAACTTAAGAGATTTAATAAAAAAAAAGAAGGTTTCTCTTTTTCTAGAAAAGGGCAAAAAGGTAATTATATTAACATCATCGTTTACCAGATTCTTTTTTGATATCTTCTCTTCTCCTCTTACGATGCCGAGCCCAATCAGCGATGCTTGTGCACCCTTCGACGTCTGACGTGGAATCAGAGGGACCACCCATGATCTCGATCCGGAGCAATCGATCGGAGAAGTTGCTGTCGTTGAAGGCGAATCCGAAGTCGCCTTCGGAGGAGGAGCCACCGTGACGGGAGAAATCGGGATCCATCTGGGTTTTGGGGTCGAAGAGATCCGTGTTTTCACCACCTCTCATAACCCTTAAACCAGAGGAATCCGTGGAAAGGAAGAAACTTGATTAAACGTAAGACGAAGTTTTTAGAAAGAGAGAGAGAGCTGAAGGGCTTTCAGGTGAGAGAGAAAGAGAGAGAGAGACGAAAGGCTACGGAAGGAAGAGACTATTCTATATACAGTCTGTATATCTTATCTATCTTACTAACCGGTTCGGTTATTTAACTAAACCAATCTCCGCTTTTCTCCTTAGATATTTATTACAGCCATTGTCTTTTTTTTTTCTTCTTTTTTTGTCTGAAACATTACAGCCATGCGGCTACAGTGGAAATTACGAAGTTGTAATTGTTTGATTACAACGAATGGATTACAAAATCTATTTTATTAAAACAGAATTATCCATTAAAATACTTCTTAATCTTGCACAATATTTATAATTCAATGTCATTAAATTATTAAATAAAACCTATTTTAAAGGAATCTTTGTCTTTTTTATTTTATTCAATTATTTCTTAAATATATTTTATCTAAATTTTTGTGTCTAACGTTTTTCCTAAAACAATTTAGCTAATATCTAGGAACATTCAAATTTAAAATCGATTTTAACAATATTAAATTGGATTATTGTTACCATTAATATTTTAACAAACTTTAAATATAAAATCGATATTAAACAATATAAAAATATTCTTAAAATATATGGTTCACCATTACAATTGCTTATTTTGAAAAAGAAAATCTATATATGTTAATATTTAAATATATTTAAATTATTTGTAGAACAATGTAAAATGTTTGTAACTAAATATTTTTAATATAACTAAATATCACCTAAAATTATATATATTTCAAAAAAAATTAGAAGTATATATTTAACCATTTTGGTTACTAGTGATTATTTTAAATAATGCACGGATCAAGGTCTAGTTACTTATTTTATTAGAGTTAATAGAACAATTTAAAGTTTTTTTTTTTTTGGTCAAACAACAATTTAAAGTTTAAGGCATCCCTTTCTACATAAAGATATTGATGTAAGATCTCACATCAATGATATCAGATACTGGTCTCAATTTAGCCATTTTAGAAAGTCTCATGCAGCCCAAGGATCATGTGCTCATCTGCCAAGCCCATTAAGCGCAAACAGAACATGCCGAAACCATTTTGTAATCAGTGATAGTGAATATTTGGTGAAGATGTGTGTGTGGTTTTCATGATCTACATAGCTACTTGTTTCATATGTAGTGGTAATTACTATCTAAATGGCTGTTACACTAACTCGCTTCTTTAACTAATAAAACTATCTGCCTCTTTCAGATATTTAGATTAACTAGTATATATTTCGATTCAATAGACAAATGGTTACCTTAACTAAAATGTATGTATTAATCTTTGGTGTGCTTTTTTTAGAATAATCATCTCCGTCCATGTCAAATTGTTTCCCCTTCTTTTGATTTGGTATTTTAGGTCTACTGATTTAATGGGTCAGGCTATTGTCTAATTAGTTTCCTTTCCTTGGCATATGGCAGTGAATGTTATTTTTGAGATAGTACTCAACAAAAGAATTTAAGTATTTAACCAATAAACAAAAACTTTACGCAATCCATACAACATTATTACTGATGATACAGTATATAGTATACCACTTCAAATTTAAGCAAATTATTACAAATTTACAGCTTTTTTTTTGAGAAAAGATTAACAGCTATTAAAAGCTGAAATTTGACCCCAAAAAAAAAAAAATTTAAAAGCTGAAATAAGTGACCTTTAGAAAATTTTTAGCTGTTGTCCATTACCTGAAAACCTAACACTGCCAAACCTGACAAATCCCATCACCAAACTAGGTCCAGTTTCAACTCAAGTACAAAAACAAAACATCTTAAATCAATTTACAGCTATCTACAATGAATAAACCTTAAAAATCATTTTTATTAATAATTGTAAGAGGATAAAAGTTTTTGTTTTGCCCACCAGGAACAGCACCAAGACAACCTCCAGTTTCAGGCCAATGAGATATTGTGGGCCACATTTTAATAAGGATTCGATTGATTAAATTAAAACTATATGGGTCTTTTGAGAAATCTATAATTTTAAAGTACCAAACTATAAATAACAATAATATCATAATCTTCTTCAATCTCAGAGCCAACAAACCCAAAAGGCCAAGACTTTCAAAGCTATGGAGTAATCTCGAGTCTTGGCTCAAAGCAGAACCCAGTAAAGAGCTGAAGAGGGAACTTCTTGGACACAGGACACTTCTGAGACCACTTCCAACCCTTTAAGTTCATGTCAAAAGTCAAAAGCGCAGGAGATCCATAGCTTTGAATATAAACCAAATCATCACTGCCACTACTAGCAAAAACATCATCTAACTCACCAAAGCCTTGGAAGTATCTCTGAGGCATTCTCGCCACTTCTTGCCACTCTCTCCCTCCTCCTTTCAAACACCAAACACCAATCCCTTTGATGATGTCTGGTCTATCATGTTTCCCTATCCCTCCAACGACCACAAGCTTCTCCTTCAAGTTCATCAACCTCCCACAGGTTAAAGAACACGGCATCGGTATAAAACTCCTCATCAAGATTCCGTTAGAAGATGATGTCGACGATAGGTTCAAAGCAACCAAGCCGTGGCGATGATCAGACACTCCGGTTGAGTATATCAAGAAGTATAGAACATTGTCGATGATCACACTCTCGTCTCCTCCTCTCCATCCGGTTAAGACATCGGTTAAACATGTTGTCCAAGTCATTGTTTCAGAGCTGTAGAGATGAATAGATAGCTCCCATTGGAAGAAATCCTCCGGAACTTGCTTTGATTTCACTATAGAAACAGAGTAACTCTGTTTTGCTCTGTTTACAGAGGTAGACAATGCTGTGTAATCTGTTGATCTGTGACCGGGCAGTTCAGGAAGCCTCCTCCACTGTTTGGTTATCGGGTTTGAGACAAAGATCTTGTTTCTACAGTCATTATCCATGAAACAAACCAATCCACAAGAGGAAGCAACAGACCAATTCGAAGTCTCTATGCAAGGGAGATCAAAGCTGTACCATTTCCTGATAACCGGGTCATAAGCATAACCGGATGGATCATTTGTGCTAGTGAACATGAAGTACCAAGGCTTCTGAGAAATAGAGTTGTTGGAGAAGTTACATAAGAATCTTTGAGATGATACAATCTCGTTCCATCTTTTGCAGACAGTGCCAGCTCTGAAGATGCTGGCAATGGGGAGAAAGGTGAGGATTCTCTCTATTAAATCGTTGGGGAGAAGAGAATCTATTGAAAAGGTTTGGACTTTGGTCTCATCATCATCGCTATGCTCAGAGTAAGATTCAGCTTCAGGAACATATGTGGTAATGTAGTTGTATGGATAAGTGGTCCAAGATGTTTCTGCTTCCATCCTTAAAAGCCACTGAAAAACAACACACATGTGTTATAATTTTTACACATCAAACAAAAGATATGATCAAAAGCTTCCGAATCCAAATTGCAAACCTGATTAGAGTCTCAACAAAAAAGGAACAACATATCCATTACACAACACAGAGGTCAGATTCATTACACAACACAAAGCCACTTCAGCTTCAGCTTAGGTTATGTAAGGGAAAACAAGAAAAGCAAATCACGACATTGCTTTATGAGACATGCATAGAATAAGTCCAGTAATGCAAATACATGTTTCAGACAGAACCGAAAAGAAAGATAGAAAGCTTGTGTTACCCTTTCAACGTCAAGGTTTTTAACTTTGATGATGATTAATACAAAGATTAGATATTAGGTATAACGTTGGTTAATGCATATAAAATTAGGCAAAACGTTTACATCTATCGAGTATACGGTAACAGCAAACATTCATTAAATACAAAAACTGAAAAACACATCAAAGATTAGGACACGGAACAGATAAATGAACCATCCCAGCAGTTTTTTTTTTTTTTTTTAAAGCAGAGTGTGACAGAGAAATCAAACAGAAACCCATCTCGATTTTCATTACATACCTTCGATTCAGAGCTCGTGGGTCTATGAATTTTAAGAACTCTCGATATTCGAACCGATAGAGTATTGATTTTTTTTGGTAGATTTGCGAGTGGAAATGCCGGTTTTGTGGATACTGGTTGATGAAAAGACGCGAAAGGTGAGATTTTTCCTACGAATGGAAGATGGTAATGAAATGGGTCTGTCGGGAATTCGGATTTGTTGTGTAAGAAATATGAAATGGGTTCATCAGTGAGACAAGGACAAGAGCTAGAGAATGAGCAAAAACTTGTTTAATAGACAGAATAAGAGACGTTTCGGGTTCGATTATATAAATATAAATGAAACGGACAATGAGATGAAGGATGACAAAAGAGAGAGAGAGCAAGCGCGAGGAAGAGAGAAGAAGAAGACGTTTTGCTCTCTGCTGTTCTTTTTTTTTATATATTTTCTTTTTACCCCTTTTTGTATTTGATTTAAATAAAATATAAAATTGAAATACACTATAGGTAGTGAAATAATAATACACTCCTTCTGTAAATGTTGTTTTAGAAAAGTATTTTCAGGGTAGCATACAAAGCACAAAACAATGAAAAATATTCAGACCACACCAATAATAATGCTGTCTTACTCATTAACCTGAATATCTATTTTTAAAAAATATAATATTAACAATAAACTAATCAAAAATTGTCGTGCTTACAAAAAGAAATGTTTATTTAATTCCTTTAGTAAATTTTATACTTTGCTTTTCAAACACTGAAAGGTCTCTCTCTACTTTCCTTAGCCTAGACTTCTCCCAGTTTCTTAGTGGCCTCCTCCAGTTTCTTTTAGTGGCCTGACCTTTACCTAATACACTTTACTAGATAACAACTATACAATAACAAATTGAATATCATACACCGGTTAGCATGTACATGTTATAATTAAGATTTTCGTCAAGAAGCATAAAATCCCAATTAAATATATTTAAGTACAGCTTTAAAATGTTGATGGCTTTCAGATCCACTAACTACATTTACGTGTAAAGCTATATATTTGATCTCAGCTTCACACGCTTGAGTTTCTTCCTTGGATCATATACCCTTACCCTTTATGGTTATGTAACTGCTCCATCAGTGGCTCACATACTATATGATCACGTTCTGATTATAGCGGTTACTAAACTTGGATTTAGAATATGCTCTCTTTTCTATGAATTCAACTGTTCATGAAAGGGACCATATCCAGTAGTATATACCATTTACACTTCTAGTTTTCCTAAATCCAAAACAAGGCATATACCCTGTACTAGTTGCTAGTGGTGCACTATCTTAGTTTTTGCTTTAGTTTCGTTGGAAAGGTTTTAAAAAATTCAAAATACTTTATGTGAAGATTTTGAAGCTTTATTGAGTTTTGCTAAATTCAGATACGACTTTTAATACATGTGTGGTTTAGAAATGTTGTAGAAAGTTACTTGCAAATTGGTCTTACTGCCACTGGTCACCTCTGCTAACTTTTGTAAAGATTAGACCAAAACTAATCTAAAGGCAATTGTCAAATCGCGTTTAACATCTCAAAGATATAGTATTAAACAACACTACTTTTTTCGTTGAAAGAACAAGACTGCAATGTGAACAATGTGAGAGATCTAGCAAGATCAATTAGCACTATGCAATTTGGCCTGTTTGGTGGGTTCATTTAAATATATAAAACTGTTAATTGATAATTAAAGAATGGGTAAAAATATATAGATGTAACTTACAGTGGCAGATACTAATAATTTGTAACTTGTTTATGGCCGGCCTTGGTCTTTCTGCCAAGGATAACTTTGAGCACATTGTCACTTATCACTTGTTTATTATATAGAGAAAACACACTCACACATGAACACACATACATCTAATAACTGTTTTCTTTCATGAAAGCTAAACTAATTTTAGATATTATTTGAAGGCTATAATATCTACAACTCAAAATGATGTTTTGTAGTGAGTTATTCACCCATTTACATTTCATTTATCTGTTCCAAATTCTAACTAACTATTTAAGAGGCCTTACTTTTATTTTTGCTTCAAGCCTTCAAAATCTGAAGACTGACTCTGGTCCCCTTGGATGCATAAACATAGGTACATAGATAGTTTCTCCAATATTCACCAGCCCCATTATATAAGAGTAAACTCTATTACGTTTCAAAAGACAAAAAAAAACTTTTATTACGTTTCACTAAACGTATCAGATTTATCAATTACCAACATATACAGTTGGGAGTAAAAAAGGAATGCAAGAAAAGAGAAATGATTACTGAAGTGGACTGACTTTTAGTTGTTTATGTTTTTATTGGAAGCAAACGAAGTGGATCAAACTTAGAAGTCACATTTTATCATGATGATGTTCTCTTCTACTCCACATCTTGTTGTTCCCTTCTATACTTTGTTTATCCACACACACACACACTCTCTAGCTCACTGTTTATGCTAGAATGTTACAAATCACAAATTCAGATACAACTTAATTTTAAAATACTTTCATCTCCTATTTCTCGACCCAAATACTTCAACACCAACATCAGCTGTGTTCATGGGCTTTGGGACCAGTAGTGGTCAGAATTTGCCACAATTTGACAAAGTAGTACAAAGCTAAGCCCATCATTTATACACTAGTTTGCTTACCTGTGACAAAAGCAGAATAACCCACATCCTTGCAACGCTTTTGTCGTTTCGGACCACGCAGTATCATCAAATAACACCCACACGAAATGATGTAAACACGACAAAGCACTGGCAAAAGCGAAAAACTAGAAACAAAAGTCACAGGTATCAAAAAGAGCCATGTGAATGAATGACAATTACCGAAGTTGTTGATATAAAAGAACAAAATAAAATTCAAATATATAATATGCTAATAATCGTCTCAATACATCACGTTACAATTCAATCTAACACCTCTTCCATAGTAACAAAACCATAAGATTCAAAAGATTCAAAAGCAAAACATAACGATGATGATGATGATGATCAAACAAAAAAACAAAACAAGAGTTCTTTTGTCTGAATCTTAAAGTCAACTCAGCCATGAGTATTCAAAGCTTCCCAAACCAAGTTCTTAACCACAGGATTCGCCGCATCTCTAGCTTGATAAGCCGCTTTCTTCAAAGTCCTAATAGTCCAAACATTCGCCTCCCACCACGACAAACTCCTATACGGAAGATTATGCTTCTTACAAAGCTCCTGAACCACCGGCGCCACCTTCCGTAAATGACACCTCGGCAGCCTCGGAAACAAATGATGCTCGAGCTGAAACTGCAACCCACCGAAAAACCAATCCATATACGAACTACACGAGATATCCAACGTCCCCGCCGCTTGCTTCTCGAACCAGTCCCCTCCTTTCGGTGGACCCATGTAAACATCAGCAGCGAAATGATTAAGCGTAAACTGAATATGCTGAAGCGCCGTGACTGTAAAGCTCGTAAACACGAAAAAGAATCTCTCAGGCCAAGTCGGTAAACACGACACCAAGAGCGGAAACCAAGTCCAGAACACCAATATCCCCGCTAAGTTCAGACCCCGATCCGTAACCTCGCGTCTGGAGAATAGTAGGAGAAACGTCTGTATAAAAAGATTGATCCTACCGAAACACATTACGGGATAGTAAGTGAAATGCTGGTAACTGATCAAGAACCTCGCCACGGGATCGAAATTAAGTTTCCTATCGTAGAACCGTGACGTCATCGAGTTGAAGAACTTCGTAGAGACCGCGAAGACGGGGATGTGTTGCAGATCGGGATCGTAATCGAGGCTGTTACACGCGAGGTGATGCGCGTTGTGAGTCCATTTCCACCACGCGATGGAGATCCCCGTCAGGCAGTTACCAGACAAAAGCTGAGCGAATCTGTTATAAGCTTTATTCGTCATGATGACGTAATGTCCAGAGTCGTGGCCTATGTACGCGCTCTGGATCCACAACAGACCGAGTATCCCCGCGGCGATCTGGTGAGCGAGGATGGAAGTACAGGCCAAGACTCCGTAGAGGACCGCGGCGAACATCGCCGCGACGAAGGATAAAGTGTAGAGAGTGACGTGGCCTTTGGTCTCGAAGAGGCCGAGTTTGCGGAACTCCGCGGCCATGCGGCGGTAGTCGCGGGAGATTTCGGAGATTTGGTGGTCTCTGATGTGGTAGCCGGTGGAGAGGTTTTGGAGGTGGTGCCAGGCGGTTCCGGGGTGGAATGCGATGAAGGCGTCGGTTACGTCTTGGCCGATGAGGTTGAGGATCACTGTTTCGCCTCCGGGGTGGGATTTGATCCACTCGGAGACGTTGTAGACTTTGCCTTGGATCGCGATCCAGAGATCTCCGGGTTTGTTGTGTGTTTTGAGATCTTCGGTTGTAATGTACTTTTTGTTATCATCAGTTTTTAAGGCCATTGGTGACGGATTCAGAAGGTATTTTTTGGAGGTTTGAATCTATGGTGATTGGTTTTATAGTTTTTTTTTCGAGATTTGTTTGATAAAAGGTTTGGAGATTAGAGAGATACGATACACTAACCTTTCTTTTTTACATAGTAATGGATCTTGAATCTGGAATTTGAATTGAATCCTTCTCTCTCTCTCTGCGCTTGTGTATTTATGGTTCTGTAGTTCTTATATTTACTGTTTTTCTCGAATTACGTGTGGCCAAGTGTGCCGGCGTCAGTAGTTCTCACGTGTGAGTCTCTTCTTTGTAATTTAAAAGAGGGACCGTTTTTTTAAATTGTTTGTTTGTTATGTTATAAAATTAAGAAAAAGAGGAAACTTAGTGCGGTGCCTCGTAGTTATGACATGCAAGACAGACCATGTGTTAGCGTTAGATATTTTTCTGTATCATTCATTGGTTGGTGTCCGTCAATTTCACGTCAACATAAAAACACGCTATAGTAATGTATCACCAAAAATTTACAAAAAAAGTAATGTATCATCAATGGCCAACTAAACCGAAAAATGTCAGAGAATTGTGTTTTACCTTTGCGTAGTTAATTTTCCTAATTATCTTTTTTTATCATACATCATATGAAAAATGTATTCTTGTATTTTTAGAATATATCTGCTGAATGAAAAGAAAATTTATTCAAAAGAAAATTAAATTGATGTAGAGTTTTGTCCATATATATATATATATATTCATGACTTTTGCATGTTCACTTTGTGTTAAGAATATTTCTTAATGAAGGTGCATCGTCCCTGTTGTCTAATTGCTTTCCAAGACTTGGTCTGAAAGATAACAGCTGTCTCTTCGAGATCTTTTTCTGAGTTATTGTTAACTCGTGAAGATATATTTTTCCTCATTGAGATCTAAAATAAACTGTATTTTTATTCAACCAATCAATTATTGTTTTGTTTTCAAGTGCGCTATTCTATCCAGTGACAGACAAAAAGTCAGATATTACAGAGCTATACGGCTACACTTAATAATATTAATATGTGTCGACAAAGTAAATTAAAATATTACAAATCAAATAGCAAATGGGAGGGAAATTCCTCAACTAGGAAATTAAAGGAAGACTTTTCATGCTAAGGAATGTATAAAGAAGACTGGGCAAGCATGCAGTAGGAAGATGATCACTTTAATATACAGAATCTTCTAATAGTGTTAACTTTAATTACTAAATTCATCAATATAAAACAAATATTCGAGACTAAATAACGTTTGAAAATTTTGTACAAACTCTTATAACCTTATTTTGGTAGGTAAAAGATATTTAAAAATGCCAACTATCATCTAAGAAATTATTAAATGCATGGGGAACTATATATGAAGGCTAAAATGGATGCATTACACATGTATATTAAGAGATAGAGAGGTAAGGTTGTGATTTAATCTTCTTCAAGCCATCTCCTTACACCAAAGAGCCAATGGTTTATTACAGGATCATATCTCCACATTGAACCAGAAGAATGGCTCATTGAGACAAAACCTGAGCTCTACTAGTGCTGCTCTGAAGAGGCTAGAAACAGCAAACAATAATGTTATCAAGGTATAAGACACAAGATATGTATGTTTCATCTCTTTGGTATCATGAAATGGAAAGCTCTATTGATAGGAATTAGTTGGATGCAAAGCTCTTTTTTTTTTTTCAGTTCGAACAGAGTTATCAAGATTTCTGGAAGCTGGATTTCAGTTAGAAAGTTATGTTAACATCATTATTTTGATAAGTATGTAAATGCTTTATTTGCTAATTTTGCTTAGAGGTATGCAATCGTGCATTAAGGTCTTCAACTAATGGATTGCTTGCAATTTTCTTCAGCGAAACAACGATCAGTCACCCAACAAGCTTCAAAAATCTGTGCCACTTATTGAATCAAAGAACTCAAGTGTAACCAAGAATCAAGAACACAATAACTCAAATTTCAAATCTCTTTATTGCTTTAGAAAACTTATCTCAAAACTAAAGCTCTCAATCTCTAAAACTCACAAGAGATATCACACACCGATATCTTCTTATATAGTTATCTCAAATACCTAAACTCATTAGGAAAACACAATATTTGGATAAGTATAGAATCTCCTAATCCTAAGCTCATTAGGACTTATCTTTTATTCCAAGTTATCTCACAAGCTTAAGNAAAACTTATCTCAAAACTAAAGCTCTCAATCTCTAAAACTCACAAGAGATATCACACACCGATATCTTCTTATATAGTTATCTCAAATACCTAAACTCATTAGGAAAACACAATATTTGGATAAGTATAGAATCTCCTAATCCTAAGCTCATTAGGACTTATCTTTTATTCCAAGTTATCTCACAAGCTTAAGTCAACAATCTCCCCCTTAAGCTTGTGATCTCTATTCTTCATATCCTCTACTCCCACAAGCTCTCTCATCTCCTTGAATTTGATCCTCCCAAGTGCCTTAGTAAGCATGTCCGCCTTTTGTTTGTTCCCAGCCACATGTTCAACGGTTATCAATCCATCCTCTACGCATTCTCTTATGAAATGGAACCTTGTATGTATGTGTTTGCTACGCCCATGAAACACCGGGTTCTTTGTGAGTGCAATAGCCGATTTATTATCAATGCGTATGACCCCTTTCTTGACCTCTCCATCCGTGATCTGCTCAAGAAGTCCTTGCAGCCATATAAGTTGCTTTGCAGTCTCTGTTCCTGCCATGAACTCAGCTTCACAAGAGGATAAAGCGACGATCTCTTGCTTCTGCGAACACCAAGTGACTGGACACTCATTCAGATAGAAAATGTGCCCTGTTGTACTCTTGCCATTGTCTGGGTCCACATTGTAGCTGCTGTCACTGTATCCTATGAGCTCCCTCTTATCATTTTTCTTGTAGAATAAACCGTATGATGATGTTCCTCTCAGATATCTCAGAACTTGTTTCAACGCAGCCCCATGAGGTTCTCTGGGATCATGCATATAGCGGCTCAGTACCCCAACGCATTGTGCAAAGTCTGGCCTAGTGTGTATCAGATATCTCAGGCACCCTATATTGCGTCTAAACTCCTTCTCTCCGATCGTCTTTTCTTCTGATGCTTTGGATAACTTGAGACCCGGATCCATAGGTATATGAGTTGCATTACACTCTTCCATTCCAGCTTCTTCTAGTATTCTATTTGCATATCTCTCTTGCTTTAGCATCACTCCATTCTCTAGTTGTATTACTTCTATACCAAGGTAGTAGTTGAGTCTTCCGAGATCACTCATCTCAAACTTAGTTGCCATCTCTTGTTTGAATTCTCTAATATCATTCAAATTTGAACCTGTAATTAGCAAATCGTCCACATAGACTGCCACAAGTAGAATTGTTCCCCTTGTTCTTCTATGAAACAGAGATGGTTCCTTGTTGCATTTTGTGAAGTTGAGCTCCTTAAGGATCTTGTTGAGCTTGATACTCCACGCTCTTGGAGCCTGTTTCAGACCGTATAGGGCTTTATGGAGCTTGTAAACTTTCGTCTCCTTTCCTTTGACTTTGAAACCTTCAGGTTGCGTGACATATACTTCTTCTCTGAGCTCACCGTGGAGGAAGGCTGTTTTAACATCCATGTGATGGATTTCCCAACCGTGTGATGCTGCCAAAGCTATGAGTATTCTCACTGTCTCTATTCTTGCCACAGGAGCAAACACCTCCTCGTAATCAACTCCATGACGTTGAACATAGCCCTTTGCAACAAGTCTAGCCTTGTACTTGTTTATGCTGCCATCTGCATTCTTCTTCACTTTAAACACCCACTTTAGTCCAATGGCTTTGCATCCTTCCGGGAGTTCTACAAGTGTCCATGTGTTGTTCTTTTTGATTGATGCTATCTCTTCTTCACACGCATCTCTCCAGACTTTCTCCTCCTTGGCCTCATCCCAGTTCCACGGTTCTTCATTAACAAGAAGAAGAATACGCTCTGTTTCCTCCATCTCTGAGATAAGCACGTAATCATCCAAGTAGTTTGGCTTTGTCCTTTCTCTAGTTGATCTTCTCAGGGTTGTTTGTTCTTCTTCAGTATCCTCCTCTGTATCACTAGATTCTTCTTTTGAGTCCGAGCTCTCACTACTGTTGTCTTGGTCTATTGCGTTATACACCGAGAAAGTGATTGTCTCAGGTTCACTTCTTTCTTCTCTGTTACTCTCCCACTTCCAGCCGTTGTTTTCATCAAAAACAACATCCCTACTTACCATAATCCTTTTATTTATAGGATTATACAACCGATATGCCTTAGATCCTGGCTCAATTCCCAGATGTACTACGGCTTGTGACCTATCATCAAGCTTTTTGAGGTGTGGAGTTGTATTCTTTGCATAACAAATGCAACCAAAGATGCGTATATGATCGACAGTTGGTTTCTTTCCCTTAAGACTCTCATAAGGTGTTTGTGCTTTCAATGTTCTTGTCGCAAGCCTGTTGATGAGATAGGTTGAATGTCTGACTGCTTCTCCCCATAGAAACAATGGAACATTCATGTGTTTCATAATACTTCTTGTCATCTCCATTAGAGTACGGTTTCTTCTCTCAACTACCCCGTTCTGTTGTGGGCTATATGGTGCAGTTAGATGACGCTTTATACCATGATCATCACAGAATGTCTGAAACTCTTGAGAACAAAATTCTCCACCTCTGTCAGTTCGCAATGTTTTAATGCTGCTTCCTGTTTCTTGCTCCACAATCTTCTTGAATCTTTTGAATTTTTCAAAGGCCTCACTCTTTTCTCTCAGCAGTATGGACCACATATACCGTGTGTGATCGTCAATCAACACAAATACATACCTATTCCCCCCTGCAGTTGATGGTTTTATTGGGCCACAAAGGTCTCCATGAATCAGCTCTAGTGGTTGTGTTGCTCGGAACAATGTTGCTTTGGGAAAGCTTTGTCTTGTTTGTTTTCCCATCAGGCAAGATGCACACGTCTCATGTTCAATATCTATATTAGGTAGGCCATTGACGATGCTCCCTTTTATCATACTTCTCATGGTTTCCAAGTTAATGTGTCCTAGTCTTGCGTGCCACGTTGCAGAGCTACTCATCTTATCCAGCTGCAGACATCTTGAGTTCTCAACTTCCATGAACACCTTGTAAAGTCTGTTTTTAGACCTTATTGCCTTAACCAGGAGATTTCCAGTTTGATCGTAAAGCGTAAGGTACTCCCCTTTCATTCTCACATCGCATCCTGCCTCTGTAGCTTGGCCTAGGCTTATGATGTTGCTTCTTAGGTCTGGTATAAAGTAGACGTTGGCTAGTATCTTCCGTTTGCCATCTCCAGTGATGAACATGATTGATCCTTTGCCTTTGATATCAATGCGAGAATCATCTCCAAACCTTACCTTGCCTGTAACTTTCTCATCAAGCTTGCAGAAGTAGTCTCGGTTTCCTGACATATGGTTACTGGCTCCATTATCAAGATACCATATGTTATCTCTGTCTGTATGTGTTTCAAATTTGCTAGGAGCAACATTCTCTTCGTTGAGGTAGACTACCTCATGCATCATTAACTCCTCGGCCTCTCGTGTACTCTCATCTTCATTCTCAGTGGTTATCTGCAATTTAAGCAGTCTGTCTGGGCAATTGTAGGCATAATGTCCAGTTTTATCACATCTGTAACACACAACCCTTGAAGTGTCTCTCCCATCCTTCCAATCTCTTTGGTTGTTCCAGCGTCCACGGCCTCTACCTCTATTATTAAAACGTCCACCACGTCCTCGGCCTCTGTTGTAGTTATCTTGATATTGTTGCGATTCTGTGTTAGCATACAGTAGCTTTCCTTGATCCTCCTTTTGATCATCATCATCATCATTGATTCTTTCTTCGAAAGCTTTGATCCTACCAACAATTTCATCAAACTTAACCACATTCAAGTCTAGAGACTGCTCCAGAGCTGCTATAACATGAATGTACTTCTTTCTTGGAAGACTGCTAAAGAATTTCTTCACCAGTCTAGTTTCTTCGATAATCCCTTCCAATGATGCTGACTTTGAAGACAATTCTATAAGTTTTCCTGAAAACTCATTCACTGTTTCTGTATCCTTCATCTTTAGTCTATAGAAGTCTTCCATTAATGTCTGTAACCTAGCCTCACGAACCCTATCATCTCCAACATGCCTAGCCTTTATGGATTCCCATATCTCTTTTGCTGTTTTAAGATGACCGACGGTTAAAAGATGAGCTTCGGTTATTGACTGAAACAGGTATGCTCTTGCCATATTGTTTTTATCTTTATCCCCTGTTCCAGGCTCTATTGTTTCCCATACTTTATGCACCTCAAGTGCTACTTGCATTCTCATGCTCCACACGGTATAGTTAGTATCACTAAGCATAGGAAATTTGATGTTTGAATGTACATCATCTTTCGTCTTGCTCGTTGCTGCTACTATGTCTTTATCTCCCATTATGTTTTCCTCAAAAACTTCTGAGCGGTTGTTTTCTTTCTCGGATTGTCTAGGTTTCAAACGAGGCTCTGATACCAATTATTGAATCAAAGAACTCAAGTGTAACCAAGAATCAAGAACACAATAACTCAAATCTCAAATCTCTTTATTACTTTAGAAAACTTATCTCAAAACTAAAGCTCTCAATCTCTAAAACTCACAAGAGATATCACACACCGATATCTTCTTATATAGTTATCTCAAATACCTAAACTCATTAGGAAAACACAATATTTGGATAAGTATAGAATCTCCTAATCCTAAGCTCATTAGGACTTATCTTTTATTCCAAGTTATCTCACAAGCTTAAGNAAAACTTATCTCAAAACTAAAGCTCTCAATCTCTAAAACTCACAAGAGATATCACACACCGATATCTTCTTATATAGTTATCTCAAATACCTAAACTCATTAGGAAAACACAATATTTGGATAAGTATAGAATCTCCTAATCCTAAGCTCATTAGGACTTATCTTTTATTCCAAGTTATCTCACAAGCTTAAGTCAACACCACTTTCAAAAGTTCGAGGCCATATGTCCAATGGAAACGGGAAGGACACTGTTTAGTTTGTAAGATTCATACATCAGACTTTTCGAATGAAGTTTTCTTTTTTTTTCGAATGAAGTTTTCTTTTTTCGAATGAAGTTCGTTTTGGTTACATCTTGTAATGCATAAGAAGCAGTTTTTAGCAGTGGTGAAAGTGCCTTTTATTTATATGCAATGTTCTCTTCTGGTAAACACTAAATTCTAAGCGGTACTCTGGATGCCATTTTAGGTCCTTGCTGATATGCTAGAAGATAGAACAAAATCACTGGCAGCTATTCAAGCTAAAGAGCTTGCCTTAGAGCGTGAAAAACTAAGAGATATGCAGCTTTATCTGCAGGGTATTTGACATCATTAGTTGGTTTGTGCTTCTTTGGTATCTCTTTTACCTGGTATTCTCACTCTTAATTCATCAGAGGAGCTGAGACGGAGCGAATCATTCAAGGAAGAACTCGAGTCTCTGAGGTTAGATAAGAACAAAGTAAGTCTTGCATGTTCTGTATTCATATAGGAATCACCATCTCTTGCTTACAAATTTGTGATTTTCTGTATTCCATCTGTTTGCAGACCTCGTTTGAGATTAGAAAAGTGCATAATGAACTGGACGCAAAATTACATGAAATCAAACACTTGCAGATGAACATTTTGAACGAGAGCTTGTGGTGGCTAAAGAAGAGCTGATGAAGCTCTATGGTTGTTTAAAAGTAAGCATATATAACTATCATTTTCCCTTGTTGCCTGTGATCTGCGATATCTATGTAGGTCTGATGCTATTCTCATGTTGCTTAAGGACGCTGATAGGCGATTGGAATCATCGAATAAGGACAAGGAAGACATCATATCCAAACTGTTGCAAGCCGAAAAGGTGGCAGCTGAATGGAAAAATAGAGTAAGTTTGAAGAAGACAATGCAAAAGTGCGCCGTGTTCTTGAGCAGAGCATGACAAGGCTAAATAGAATGTCAATGGAGTCGGATAGGTACACCAATTATCACATCATACACATTTTCGATTGCCAGAATGAAACTGAACATATTTTTGCAGGAGTATTGTCATCAAATTACTGGTTACGTACTTCCAGAAGAGTCATATTCCGAATTCTTTGCTTTTTATCGGGCATTCACATTTACTCAATTGTTTCATTGCTTTTGCATAGATATTGGACCTCATGGTAAGGATGCTGAGATTCTCAGGGGAAGATAAAGAGCGGATTGGAGTGGCACAACAAGGAGGTGGTAAAGGTGTTGTAAGAGGCGTGTTGGGCTTTCCCAGTCGCTTTGTTGGTGGAACACTGATCCATTACACAAATGAAGCACTGATCCAACGGCCAAGAAACGCCGTCACTGAATTAATACACAGAGACGTTTCACTGAGAGATATTATTCATTTGCTGATTTATGGGTGGATTTCTTGCTCAAAGATGCAGGAGAGCGAGAAAGAAGAGAGGCAGAGGCAAGATTCAGAGAAGACAAGACAAGACGCATCTTTGTCTGAATCAGAATTCTCTATGGTGCCTATCAGATCATCTGAGAGTAATCAACGGCTGTCAAGAGTACTTCCCTAAGGGTGGTATACATACACTTCAAATAGGTGTTTTGAGTACCTGTTTAGTCTAATGTTGTAATTATGATCTCATACCAATTGTTTGTTCCTTTGATGGTGTACTGATAATGAAAGAAGCTTCTCTTTTGAATGTTTCTCAATGTTCAATACTATTTATTTGGTGGTTATAACTAGGAAATAACTTTTTTACCACTCATGGATTAACATATATAGAGCATTATCTCATAGTTCACATCATATAGCAAAAGAAAACGAAAATCGTTTCCCCGGGAAAAATATGCTCTCATCAAATGAACACAAGTAAAAGTAGAATAACAGTTCCTTTTCGAGTTTTAGAAATATAAAGAAACAGAAATGCCCCAAGACACAAGCCAAAACGTCAAAGGGGATTGATTCACTATAAAGTCTCTAACCCAGCTTGGCCTTGAGGGAAGCAAGAGGGATCTTAGAAAGAACTTTCTCATCGAAGACAGAGTAATGTTTCTTCAGCTCCTTCAACGTTTTCTCTGCCATTGGATCCACCTTGTCCTCATGCTTCTCGTACAGCATCGGTACTGTATGCAACATCACAAAACCTGTATTTTTTTTTGGACAACACACACATAATTAAGATTCAATAATCGCAAAAGTTTATGCAACTTAAAACTTTGTATTGGTACAAATACTTACAGATGTAGACAAGGGTCAGGAAGTTGAACCAGTTTCCCACAACCGAGATAATCCACAGCCCAACAACCACCTGAGATTCACATCCAATGCATAACAATCAAATAAATAAGAGTTCTTCACAAGTAAACCATTAACTAAGGCAGATACTTAACTATTTTTCAACTGCTGTTAACCACAAATATCTATATCAACGAACCAAGAACAAACATACCATGAGAAACTTCTTCAAGTCCCTTCCTAAAGCAATGCTCCTTAAGATAACAAAGGCCTGGTTCAGCTCGTTTCTCAGCGCAGATGCAATCAAAAGGAAATGTTCCTCCTTAACATGGATCTCAGGAATCTTAGGTGGAGACCTGGAAACAAAAGAGGACTCAAACATTATCAGCAACAGAAGCATAAAAGTTATAACTTGTACCAGGATTAAATCAGCCAAAAGAAACTTACTTTTTCATGAAGGCATGAGCATTAGACCATAAGAACATGGCAGCAAGGGAGAATATCAAAATGTGACACACGAGACTCAACAAATGATACTCAACCAATTCAAACAGAACCCAAATGGCAGTAGCTACACCAAGAACAGCAGCTGAGAGCTTTTTATCCCTCCACAAGAACACATCAGCAGCTGCACAGAAAAAAAGTTCAAAACCCAATTAAAAAAAAAAGTCAAAAATCTTGTATCATACGACATGGATGGTTTGAAATCAAAGTAAAAAGCAACGATCTCAAACTCAAACTAACCTAGTCATAGAACCAATCTTTAGATACACAGACCAAACCCTATCAATCATTCACATGAAAAGCATAAAACTTGTCTGATTTCAAAGCACATTGTTTCAGTTCCGACAAGGCAAACTTGTGTCTGAGATTATTGATACTAGATCTTCTTATTACAGATCAAAGCAGATGAAATAAAAAAGAGAGAGGGAGATTTAGAAGAAGGAGAACGTACGCAAGCCACCACCGAGAACCTTGTGAACAGGCTTCTCCCTCCCAAACAAACGGTATATCTTCGCCTTCAAAGCCGACGGAGACTCAGGTTTCTCGTGCTCGGAGTCTGATGAAGACGATGAATCGTGATCGTGGATCTTCTCGGCTATCTTATCCATCAGAGACTCTTCCGCAGGTACAGATTTCTCCAGTTCTTCCGACATTTTCGATCTTACCAACGTAGCAGAGAAAGGAAGCGCGTCCGAGAGAAAGAGAGGTGAGAGAATAGGTTAATGAGGGGTATTATATGTACGAGCCTAAAGGTTCGGTGTTACCCGGACCATAAATTTACGTTAACGGCGTTAATCTTCGAATGAGGAAAAAGGGGGAAACGGACGTTAACGTTTAGTGGCTCGAACGTGGAGGCAACCCAATGCTAATGGCTTGGTGCGACTTTTTTTTTACTTTCATTAAAGTAACCGACAGGGTCTGAATCAATTCTGTACACGTGTCAATAATCGAATCAATGAAGCTAAAAATCAACGGTAACCGTCGTTGTTTACATAATTAATCTGTTGACAAAAAAGTCTCCGTTGCCGGGACTCGAACCCGGGTCTCTCGGGTGAGAGCCGAGTATCCTGACCAGCTAGACTACAACGGATTTTGTTTACTCAATGAAAGATGAACTTATTATCTCTATTTCTTTTGTTCTCTATACTTTTGCAAAATTGTTTTCCGATCTTTGTGAACATAAAAAGAGGAGAGTGAGACACAAATCCAAAGACTTTCTTATTCATTAATCTTTCTTCGTTATTGAATCCCCAAGGAGAGTATAAACACATGTCACAACACAGAACTGACTAGTACAAAAGATCATCAAAAGAGAGGCTTTTTCCCATTGATCATTCCAAACAAATGATCAAGAACTTGTCTTCCAGCATCACGCAGACCTGAGTGCATATATTCATTCGTTACCCAAAGCCTTATACCCGAAATCTGAGCAGCTGTTTCCATCACTAGCTTGAAGTTTACATACATGTCTTCATAGTATACCGCCGCAGCAACAGGCACCTTACGAAAAAAAAAACCATGTGAAAACATGAGGAAACTGTTTGATTCATAAGAAAGAAAATGATGAAGACTCGTGAACATACCTTGTTGGTTTTTAGTGTAGCAGCATTGTATAACGGAGGCCAATCCTCTTTCTTGGCTAAGAGATCTGCGGCAGCTTTGAATGGCTTCAAGGCATGGATCTCATCAAACATCCATGGAAATATCATCTGAAAATCAATCCATATTTCTTGTTTAGCTAACCAATGTGAGTGCAGAGAAATTAACCCACACAATTCAATACTAGTTACCTCTCCCGTGAAGAGTACATCCTGGCCTTCTTTGGCTGCTTTCAAAGCATCGAATTTGTGCTCAAATTTTTCCCGTAATCTATGAGCAGACCAGCTTGATGAAGCACCCTGAGAAACTTTCCAATTGATAAACTTCGAAGAAACTATGTGAAACAGGAAAGAAGATGAGGAATCGAGGAGACTATACCTCACAGTATATAGCCTCATGGAGAAGAGCATAAAGTGGGTTTGTATCAAAAGAATGCCAAGTCTCAAACTACAAAACAGATCCAAGCATATCAGACCCTATTGATTCCATCGCAGAACAGAAGATACTCTGAGAATAGCAATTCTCTTACAGCGTTTAAGAAGAAGTGACTAATACGCTTTGGTGATCCAGGAACCAAAATAGGATCCCATACTCTCTCCAACCTATGATCAAGCAAGAAAGGTAGTGGTTAATACAAAACAAGTCGGGTGATTGAAAAAAAATACTAACAAAGATGAACTCTTACATGTAATGTAAGCGCTCAAAACCAGTACTTGATCCTAAACCAGAAAGACCAAGAGTTTGAAGACCATGGGGAGTGAGGATGCCTCCTGATGGAAGAGGTACCTAAAGACAACGAAACAAAGACAAGTAAGTAACTGAACTAAACTGGTTAGTGGATTTGGTAAATGTTGTGAATCCCTCACCCCTCCGCCTTCAGATTCAGCCAAGTAAGTTACAAGTTCACGAACAATCTCAACGTCTTCAGGGAACCTCTTGTAATATTTTTCATTCTGACGAACAACTTGCTCAAACCCAGCTTCATACACATCATCTGCTGTGCATGATTTGCCAATTGGTGGGATTCCTCCAGTCATCAGCACTTGTTTTAGTCCTTGAGGAGCAAAGCTCAGATAGGTCAATGCACAGAAACCACCAAAACTCTGCAGAAACACCAATACACAATTAAAAATATGAACAAGAACTGAAGCAGAGCGAGTAACAGAACAACACATTACCTGACCCAAAATAGTCCAAGGATCAGCATTAGGAACAAGACGAACTCTAACAAACTCAGCATCTTTAACTATATTATCAGCTCGAAAGTGAACCAAGTAATCAGCTAAATCGTTAGCTGATTTGAATTGAAGCATAGAGGAAGATGTCAAAGGAGTTGACAAGCCTGTTCCTCTCTGCAAGAACAAACCCAAAAAAGCTGAGAGAACACACAAAGACTAAAAAGAACAGTGTTCTTCAGAGTATAATTATAAAGTATGGTAATACTTGATCAAGTAAGATGACACGAAACTCTTCACAAGCTCGTTGAATCCAACCACCAGATTCACTAGGTCTTGGACCTTCGAATCCAGGACCACCTTGTAAATACAATAGATACGGTAACGCCTGCTCCTCTTTCCCAACTAAACACACACACACACAGACACACAAAAAATCAATCTTTACATCACTGAAAGGTTAAAAAAGCTTTGATCTTTATAAAAGCTTTTACCAGCAACGATTTCTCGGGCGAAGACGGTGATTTTGGGAGAAGTTTTGGAGTAATCTAGAGGGACTGAGAATCGATGGTTACGTAACCGGAGCTCTGGGATTGAAAACCACTTCTCCGTGACATGCTCTGTTCCAGTTCCAGCCATTGAAGTGATTACTCGATAAGATCTCCGGCGAGGATAGAAACTGATTAAACCGGAAAACGAACCGGACGATTCTGATCGAGGAGAAGAAGATGGAGATAGTAGGAAAGAAGTCAACTTTGGAATCGTTATCCTCCTATGAATCGGAGTCAGCAGCGCGTGAGTCGCCAACATCGTTTTTTTTTTATTTGCTTTTCTGTTTAAAAGAAAAGATTTTTTTTTATCCCAAATCGTTAAACGATCGCTGATGTGACGGTTGATGGACTTGCGGAGAATGGTCGGTGTGGAAGATACTGTCGTGAACAAACATGCATTAGACCAACCGCAACGGTAAAAATGTGATGGTCCTAAGGATTAAAGCGGGTTGATCCTAAACTACGTGGCAAAGGGTGAGTGGTTGGGTCGGTTTACGTTTGGGTAGGAGGAAAAAAAATTCATTTTCGCACGAAAGAGAACGAAAAAAAAAGAGCTCTCGAGGAAAGGCGATTTCGATATGTGGCGAGACCAAGGTAAATCGAAGGTTTCTCTTGCAAATTTATAGGTTTATATTAAGTTGGATGTTGTTTTCCTTTCATTTTACGGTTGGGTTTGTGTTTTCAACGATTTAGGGATATTTTCATTTCAAATTAGGGTTTCAAAGATTGGAGATTTCAATCGATTTGTGGTTTAGTTAGGTTGGATGTTCTTCTCCTCTCATTTTACGGTTGGGTTTTGTGCTTTCAGTCGATTTCGGGATATTTTCGTTTCAAATTATGGTTTCAAAGATTGGGGATTTTTATCGATTTGTGGTGTAGGTCATTTGTAGTTTGGGTTTGAGAACAATTTTCTTCTTGAATCCCATTTTAGCACTTGCTCTTAGAGTTTGGTACTTATCGGTTTGAAAGATGTTGATTGTTTCAAAGTGTTTTAGCACTTGTTTAGAGTATGGTATCGGTTTAAAAGGTGTTGATTGGTTTTAAAAGGAGTTTTAGCACTTTTAAGAGTCATGTAGATTAGAAGTTTATTCAAATGGTTGTTTGAAATGACTTCGGTTACTTGATTTCTTTCAGGTTTAAGCATGGGACAAGATTATTCGTACACACAGTCTTCTTCATCAGATGAGTATGACCTTACGTCACTTCTTGAAGCTGAAGAATTACCCAACCTCTTGGAAAGGACAGTACGCACGTGGATCAGGAAAACCGCCAATTGTCTTGGAGGCTGTTGCTTCACACGATCTTTGGATATGCCACGTTTTTTTGGTCTTTTGGGTACCTTAAACGATATTAATGTCCTCGAGCGGTCTCCTGTTTTTGATGACGTTATGCAAGGTCGAGCTCCCGCGGTACAGTATGTGGTCAATGGACACATGTATAATCTGGCGTACTACCTCACAGACGGTATATATCCAAAGTGGTCAACATTTATCCAATCTATCTTACTCCCTCAAGGTCCAAAAGCGGAGTTAATTGCTAAAGTTCAAGAATCAACCCGAAAAGATGTGGAGCGGGCTTTTGGAGTATTGCAAGCTCGATTTACGATTGTGAAAAACCCGGCTCTTTCATGGGACAAGGAAAATCTAGGAAAGATTATGAGAACATGTATCATACTACACAATATGATAGTCGAAAATGAACGAGATGGATACACTTAGTACGATACATCTGAATTTGAAGAAGAAGAAGTAACCAAAAGTTCAAGGGTGGATATGTCTTATAGTGCCTATATGCCTCCAAATCTCGAGCAAATGCATGGCATTCGGATTCATCTTCGCGATAGGCGTATACATGAACAACTGTAGAATGATTTAATTGAGAATATTTGGAACAAATTTGGTGATGAAGATTAAAAATTATTGTATGTTTTTTTAAAATATTGCAATATATAAAAATTTAACTTTCACAAATTTAAATTTTTAATATTTTTTTATTCCTAACGATTCCAATTCGGATAACACCATTGTACCTACCATTTGGATTAGAATCCTTAATTATTCCAAAAAAAAAAAATTTAAATCATAAGAACTCTTGGTGGAGTAACACCATTGTGGTTGGTCTTACACTTTTTCCAAATGGTTAAATTGATGGTTGTATAAGAGTTGAGGCCATATACGAAATCTGCATGGAGAAGTGGCATTTGAAAAACAGATGCTCGTGTATCTCTTGACCATCCGACCATAAGAGATAAGTTGTAATATTTATACCTGTTGAATCCGCGAATAAGTAGTTAGGAAATTTAATTAAGTGTTTATGTGGTATTAGAAAAGAGTTAAAAGTTTTTTTTATTGAAATGTAATCTTAATCGAAAATGAATACAAAG